CTACGAAAGGGACTCCTGGGGAAACCCTGGGCGCAGCCGCCCAACAGCTGATCGTTTCATGTATCTGGCTCTTAGAAATAAAGTATTTTCTCTCCTTCAAGCAACCGCCTGCGTGTTTATTCCCAGCTCGGAACCTCGTAAGCTTTCTTTCTAACAGTTCTGTATATTTTACTACACTGAAAATGTCTAATTAAAAAAATTTTTTTTTTAAAGATGCTACTTTCTGGCCTAGCACATTGTGTGTAACCCAGACAATCCGCCTCAATCAAAGAAATCCAGACTCATTACTCACTCTATGTGCTTCTTCCACAGCAGAAGAGTGACACCGATCAGTAAGGTGAGGCACGCTGCTGATTTCCGCCTTGTCAGCCATAAGTTCAAGAACATGGTACAGGGAATTGATTTCAGAAGTTTTCAGCCTCCTGTTGCCTTCCTTCTTCTTCCTGTCCCCTTCAGATCTCTTGAGCAGCTACCACAGTTTCTGTTCATGAAAAGAAAAGAAAAGAAAAGAAAAGAAAAGAAAAGAAAAGAAAAGAAAAGAAAAGAAAAGAAAAGAAAAGAAAAGAAAAGAAAAGAAAAGAAAAGAAAAGAAAAGAAAAGAAAAGAAAAGAAAAGAAAAGAAAAGAAAAGAAAAGAAAAGAAAAGAAAAGAAAAGAAAAGAAAAGAAAAGAAAAGAAAAGAAAAGGATTAATTTTGCTATGAAGTCTGCGCTACACACCGTGATCTTTACTTCTTTCTCTCAGGAAATTAGGCCCTTTGAAGAAACAAGAATTATACCCAAATGACACAGAAAATTTCTGTTAATCAAAGATAAGGGTTGTTGAGAGAAACTCTTCTCTGCTCTCCCATGTATTCCTATCAACAGAAGAATGTAATCTGGTTTAAAGCTGTCCATCTCAGAGCTATGTTTCTAAGAGACAACTCACACATTTCGTTGGAAAAACCGCACAAGACAGGTGTGGTCAACAGTCATATCCCACTGATTGTCCTTGCAATTTAACCAACACCAGGTACACTACCAGTTGATAACCAAACCTCCACAGCTTAATGTCACAATAAGCAGAAGAAAGAAACAAGAGCAAGTCCAGCTGCATTAAGAAAAAAGTTCAGAATAGAAAAGAGCCACAGAAAACTATGTTTACATATGATTACAGCTGTGAGACTCCTATATGTACAAAAATGGAAAGACTCTGATATACCCACATTGGGGGAATGGTTGGTGAAAAAGACAGAACTAGCAGAGATGACAAAATTAACTGGTTTGCTTAGAGAAAGATCAACGATTACATTTATTAGTGATTGGAAAACCCTTATGGACTTTTTGCTGAAAAAAGAAAAAAATGACTTATGTGACTTATGGGTCTGATGATAAGAAAGGGTAGCTGATGGAAGAAGGAAATTATGATATAATCTTAGAGAGGGTAAAATATAAATGCATTTATAACCACTGTCAAAAAGACCAGAAGCCACCTTTATCATCTTTTCTTCTTTTTTCTTTCTTTTTCTTTTTCTGTGTTCTTTCTTACTTATTCACTATTCTTTTTATTTTCTTTGTTTCTTTTCTAATCTTGGCGTTGCTTTTACTTTGTTAAAAGGTTATTCAATAAAAATTATATTAAAAGAAAAACGTTCGGAACAG